ATATATTCCAATAGCCATCACTTATATAGAGTGTTTGTACCTAAACACGGATCTCTCAGTCCTTCCAGTCTTCTCCCACCTATTTAATAAAAAAACCTCACATCCTATGCGCTTATCCAATGACGAGAGAGCACGCCTTATAAGGGGTTTCTCCCGTGTGTGCACGCGCACTCTTCCAAACAAACATGGCGGAGAAGGAAAAGCCGCCTCCAGCGCTGCTGCAGACTAAATACCATGGATGGATTTATTAAATACAGGCAAAACGCCAGAAACAGAGGAACGACAAAAAGTAGGAGCAACATGGTGACCAGCTGCATTCATGTTGGTGACCTCTAGCTCCGTGGATTCCTCTCTCCGACTGAACAGGTGAGCATTTTTTAGTGGCAGTAGTAGTTGTATTATTTATACATATTTTTGCCTGAGATAGACTGTAATGGGGGTTTTCACCAAGTTAGCTAGTTAAAAATACCCAGCTGTTGTAGAAATACGGCCGCATTTTGTGGCAATAACTGCGCATTACTTTGGGTTAGCTTTGAGAAACAACAACAGACAACACAACATCGAAGCCTTAGCCCAGCCTCAGCCATCCATAAACTCCGGTCAATTATTAGTTCCCCACATGTACAACATTAAATGAGTACCATTTGGTAAGACCATATCACCAGAGTTCCCCCGTGAAGTGGTGTTAGCATTAGCGTTCGCTGTTAGCATTAGCGTTAGCTGTTAGCATTAGCGTTAGCTGTTAGCATTAGCGTTAGCTGTTAGCATTAGCGTTCGCTGTTAGCATTAGCGTTCGCTGTTAGCATTAGCGTTAGCTGTTAGCATTAGCGTTAGCTGTTAGCATTAGCGTTCGCTGTTAGCATTAGCGTTCGCTGTTAGCATTAGCGTTAGCTGTTAGCATTAGCGTTCGCTGTTAGCATTAGCGTTCGCTGTTAGCATTAGCTGTCTGTAGTTGTGAATATGGTGTGGCTGCTACGAACACTTCTGATCTGTATGAATCGTTTGTTTTTGCCAATAAACATAGTTGCTTGCACTAAATATATATATGTAGGTCTGCATTTCCTTCTTCAATGACTAAGTTTTGCAACTTGCACTCTGTATATTAGTTTTATTGTTATAAAAACAATATCTCTTTACCTCAAATCTAACTTCCGTGACCACTACATACATTTTTATTATGTATTGAGAATAAGTAAGAAAAGTCTTGCTGACTACTACCAAATAAATTATGAGCATGATATAATATAGACATTGTAATAATTTACATGTCTTCATTGCATTCTTTTCTCTGTATCTTTTCCAGTATGGCCTAAATCAATTGGAATGAGGTCTTCAATGTACAAGAGTTCAAAAGCCTCCATAATGCAAGTTAAATAACTATATTAAAAAAAAAAAAATGCCATAACGACTAGATACTTTTCTGCTGACCTCTTCTTTCTCTAGTATTGACTGAAGACAAGACTTTGCTTCCAGAATTAGAAGAATGGCCATTGTCATCTCCTGAGGAAGACTTTACACCCCACATTTGTCATGTAGGTTGTTGTGAATGCATATATGGGACGCAGTGATTATGATGATAATGATGTTGTGATGTGTGTGTCGTTCATCCCTACAGTTGTGTTGCTGCCCTGAGGTCCAAAATGAATATCAATCATGTTCCAGGAGTCAGTGTTGACAAAACTGTCGCTGAGTTTCTTCAACAATCAAGAGGAGTGAGATAATCACTCGACTCCCAAAACAGCCGATGTAAGTGTCTTTCTCTCACAATGCAGTCTCTCACAGTCCAAATAAACATGTTCAAGGATCCTGTGGATCAGGGGCCACTCCTGGTGACCAATAAATACTGATGTTATTGATGATGAATATATCAAAGTCATATTTGAGTAGATAAAACTGATGTCTCCTCTATTGTGGTTCAAAGGAAAATCTCTGCCAGAGGAAGACTCCAGTTCCTTCAACCTGGGCCCCTGAAGCGTGTGCGTGTGGCTGTGTGTGCGTGTGGCTGTGTGTGCGTGTGGCTGTGTGTGCGTGTGGCTGTGTGTGCGTGTGGCTGTGTGTGCGTGTGGCTGTGTGTGCGTGTGGCTGTGTGTGCTTGTGGCTGTGTGTGCGTGGCTGCTTTTGAATTATTTTGAGGAAATGTATTCAAACAAGCTACAACATAAAGATTAAAATGTTGTTAGATATCTCTGATAGTGTTTGCTGCAGCAGCGATGGATAAGGACCTGAATAATAACAGTGTTATTCATTTGAGCAAAAAGTGATAACACAAACGTTGCCTTACCATCACTTGTTATTATTTGTCTTAGTAGGGACATTGTGTATATTTTTCTGACTATAACTTCAAATCTTCTTTTACATAATAAAGTTTCTTAGACTCGTTACACACTTTATTTGTTTTCCTACTATAAAACAAAGCACATTGAAAGAGGTGAATGTAATTTTTTTTATTTTGAAATAGTACAACTACAAACATATTTCAGAACTGCAGAGTGGACGTGCACCATGGGGGCCGCTGAGGACGTGCACCATGGGGGCCGCTGAGGACGTGCACCATGGGGGCCACTGAGGACGTGCACCATGGGGGCCGCTGAGGACGTGCACCATGGGGGCCGCTGAGGACAGCACGTTTTCAATGTCTGTTGGCACCTTTCACAGACGCACCAGGGAAAGGTCTGGGAGGATCTGGTCATCAGCTTCTCTGGACAGAGGGCGTTCAGAGCTTCATGAAAGAACCATTGACAAATGACTTTATATATTCTGTTACTTGTAGCTTTTCTTTCAAAGTGGTGAGTTTCCTTACAGTGTAATAGTGTAACGTAATTAGTTATGACAGTCCTTTGGCGTTTCGGACAAGCTTTACTGGAATTGTTTTTCAGTCCCACATCTCACTGTACAGCTCTGATACACTTTGATTTTGTCTTCATTCTCTGAACAATAAGCACATAATACAGATGTTGATTACATCAATAAATGTATCTTTATTTTGTGACATTGAGAAGGCAGCTTCCAGTGAGATGCAGCTTTACTTTCACATAATACATTACTACAGTGTTGTCTATAAAGAACTCCAAATATATAAATTGTGAGGAAATAAGTAGCAGTAATGTATTACTTTAAATAACCTTCATGTAAAGCTTTGTTATGTATATGCATTACATTCATCTAATACATATGCACTGTAACAGATGTTACAGTGCATAATGTTGAGACACGTCACACTGCAATCTGCAACATTATGTTTATCACAACAGTTATCAGTGTACCAACTAGAGAAGCGGTATTATTCTATAAAAGACTGGATTGTTTTTATCTCTTAGTGATGCTATCCTAGCTAACACCAAGCTGCTTTCAGTGTTATAGCTAGGTTACAACTGAGATATTCTATGCTAATATTTCACTCCCAGAGTTTGTTGTTAATATACTTACGAGTAGACCTGACGGAGATGAACATGCTGCTGCCATCACCAAGACGATGCGCGTTCATGTGGTGTGACGAGGAGACGGGGGCGGGGCTACTAACTCGCTCAGGCAGAAGAAACTGCCGGAAACGACCAAATCGCTTACTGCTGCTTTAACTTACACTGATATAAAATATGGAGCTATATTGGAACACAAGAAAAATCAATTCACAATCAATAATTTTATTGTATTTGCAAAATGTTTCATACACAAATGTAAATTTGGCAGTACTAAGCCTTTATTTTTTGTATTTCTTAAAGAGTTGTGTAGTTTGAAAGATTCTTTAAAACTTTGCAAGTCTAAGAAAGCTATAAGCCTTTATGACAATATGATGGAAATGTCTTTTGACCTCTTTGCTCGTTGTTGACGTTGGCTCTTTGTTTTTATTTTTTTTATTTCTGTTTTTGTTATATACTAGTCTGTACTATATACATACTATCTGTATGCTCTAATTGTATAATTTATTGGAGTTATGTGAACCTGTAAGCATCGCTTGTTAATAATAAAAAATAATAAAAAAAAATAAAAAAAACTAACGCTTGAACCTGACGGAGAACCTACAGCTTTCTGAAATATCGTATTTTGTGTGGATTTTAGTGTCCCTTGTCATCCTGAACTTTTTTTCTTCTTAAATCCTTCGGTTTTCTTTAAATCCACACTTTACTGCCACAAACTCTGCTCCTTTCCTTCCCGCTCTGCCGCTGCTCCGATGAGCACATGCCCCTCTGTGCACGTGCATGAGAGCCACACACGTGTATTTGGCGCAATGCATCATGGGAGCTCATCCACTGCGCAGAACCGGGAGCTAATCTGTGGGTCTCCGTGAAGTCCCATGCCCTACTGAGCACAAGCCATTCACTTGAATAGAGCGCCATCTTGGATCACTGGGGCTTGCAGCTATCGAATATTTTGGTAATCGATTATTCTATCGAATACATTAATTAATTAATCGAGTAATTGAGAACAAAAAAAAACATATTTTTGCCTAATTAAAAATATACAATATCAAATGAAAACCGTGTAATAATGACGACTGTTTTCAAATGATATACGTTTATTGCATTCATATTATCAAATGAAGACAAGGCAGAGGTGATTGCACCTGTACCTGGATTTTCTAGTCCTTCCAGATTGAACAGAATCAGACGCATGTCTCTGAGCAGCATGTTTAAAATACTATCTGTCAGAACAGCTGCTGGTGCTGGAAGCAGGAACTGGTCCTAAACAGACTGTGATGGTTTATTGAAAGAAAGTGAAAAGCAGACGTCTCATCACGTGCTGCAGCATCAAACTCATGCTAATAGGCTAGCTCCACTTAGCAATGTGTGCTAACTTCTCCGGTTTAGTGTTAAGAGTGAAGTGCTCCCAAACTTTAGACGCTTCTTATTAACTCTCCTGTCTATTTTAATAGATCAATGCATTGTCCACAAAAAAGTTTTACAAACACTAACGATGCATGCGGACCATGGGACCATGGGACCATGGGACCATGCAGACCATGCGGACCATGGGACCATGCAGACCATGTGGACCATGGGACCATGGGACCATGCGGACCATGCAGACCATGGGACCATGGGACCATGCAGACCATGGGACCATGCAGACCATGGGACCATGGGACCATGCAGACCATGGGACCATGCGGACCATGGGACCATGCAGACCATGCGGACAATGGGACCATGCAGACCATGCGGACCATGGGACCATGCAGACCATGCGGACCATGGGACCATGCAGACCATGCGGACCATGGGACCATGCAGACCATGCGGACCATGGGACCATGCAGACCATGCGGACCATGGGACCATGCAGACCATGCGGACCATGGGACCATGCAGACCATGCGGACCATGGGACCATGCAGACCATGCGGACTGGTGTAACGTCGAGATGCAGTGCCTCAGCTGTTTATGATGTAATGCAAACCTGCGCATGCGCTTCTCACGACAGCCAAAGAAAACCAAGATGGAGTCCGTGAATTGCTTTAAAAGTTTAAATATAAACTAATAAAGACACGAATGTCACTTTTGATGCAATTTGAGGCAAGATGTTGATGTTCTATGTTGTAATGTGTGTGTCAACTGCTCCTATGAAACCAAACTGCTACTGTTTTGATAGCGTCCTGTGGCTAACTCGACAGCTGTTAGCATGCAACTGGTTTGTTGGGTTGATAATGGAAATAATAAACACAATCTAAGTTGTAAGCATGGATCTAATAGCTGTCGAGTTAGCCACAGGACGCGTCATCGACGTCAGTAAAATGACGTTTGCAGCAGTTCAACTCAACAAGAACGGTACTGCTATCAAAACAGTAACCTGCCGTATACGAATCATCGAGGCAGCGGAAATTCATAGACTATTTAAATGAATGGCATGTGGGGGCCATTTTGAAAAAAGTCAGCAGGAAGGAACTGTGATCACATAAGTTTCAGCGGCGGAGATTGGCGCCACTACGTCCGATAATATTTACAGTCTGAGAGTTCAGATCACTTCAGATGAGGCCTGTCGCTGAATCCAGTCGTTCTCTCAGACTGTGGAAACTGGCCCAACTGTCAAAACAAGACGTGGCATAAAAGTGTGCATCAGAAGATTTCTTTCAGACTAAAACAGAGAGTGTGGTCCCTGAGGTATGTCGCCTCGTAACAAGGAGCCCTTTAACCTGATTGGTCCAGGTCCAACTCCAGGTACAACGAACTAACACTAACGGTCTGCACTAGATCATAAACAGAGTCGGGACAGAAGCAGAAGTAACAATCCTACTCTCAGATTAGTTTTATACTAAAAAGTCCTTAAGCGGTGACTGGTTAAGTTTCAGGTGTCTGAGTAAGAAGGTTAAGGTTAAGGTGGTCTGAGTAAGATGGTTAAGGTTAAGGTGGTCTGAGTAAGATGGTTATGGTTAAGGTGGTCTGAGTAAGATGGTTAAGGTTAAGGTGGTCTGAGTAACATGGTTAGGGTTAGGTTTAAGGTGGTCTGAGTAAGATGGTTAGGGTTAAGGTGGTCTGAGTAACATGGTTAGGGTTAAGGTGGTCTGAGTAAGATGGTTAAGGTTAAGGTGGTCTGAGTAAGATGGTTAAGGTTAAGGTGGTCTGAGTAAGATGGTTAAGGTTAAGGTGGTCTGAGTAACATGGTTAGGGTTAAGGTGGTCTGAGTAACATGGTTAGGGTTAAGGTGGTCTGAGTAACATGGTTAGGGTTAAGGGTGGGTTGGGGTTGTTCTTTGGGAATGGCTGGTTAAGTTTAGGCATGAATAGGTAGTTGGTTATTTACTTTATATTCACGCTTGGGTTAGCTAACCCTATGCCCCGGTGATCCAAGATGGCTGCCTGTTCAAATCAATGAATTGTGATGAGACAATATAAACTTTATTGTCCCAAAGGAAATTTGCTGTAGGATACAGTGCTACACAGATCTAGCCTGGCTCTGCCAGACCCTTGTAGTTCCGCCATGCTCCACCAGAGGCGTTTGACTGAACCACATGGGTCTGGTATCGAGCCCATAGCGAACGCCTTCTCCAGATTATTTTTTAATCGACCAATCAGGATTGCCGGTGTTACGTGGGGTTTGCACTGCCTTCTCAAGCTTCTCTCATGCAGCAGCGAGAGGAATCCAAGATGGCGGACGTAAAGTCCGCGAATCTTTTTAAAAGAGTAAATACGATCAAATTAAAGCTGCACTAACTGACTTTATTTTTGTATTAATTACGAAAATGCTATCCATGTCCATGTAGTGCATTGGGATATACGTCCTTTTGAAGAAAAAGTAGCGCAGATTTGTGCTGGTGTGACATTATATTTTAGATCGAGTTTTGATAAAACAAGGAAGAGAATGTGTTTCGGGCAAGCCCCGGCGATCCAAGATGGCGCCCTATTCAAATGAATGGTTGTGCTCAGTGGCGCTTTGTGACGGCATGGGGGCTGAAAGATTAGCGGAAGTCGCCTGGAACTCTCAAAGATCTATGGGAAACTCTCAAAGATCTATGAGAAACTCTCAAAGATCTATGGGAAACTCTCAAAGATCTATGGGAAACTCTCAAAGATCTATGGGAAACTCTCAAAGATCTATGGGAAACTCTCAAAGATCTATGGGAAACTCTCAAAGATCTATGGGAAACTCTCAAAGATCTATGGGAAACTCTCAAAGATCTATGGGAAACTCTCAAAGATCTATGAGAAACTCTCAAAGATCTATGGGAATCTCTCAAAGGTTTATGGGAAACTCGCCTGTATTTGGGCATCGTCTGGTCCTCCCGGTTCTGTGCAGTGGATGATCTCCCATAATGCATTGCACCAAACACGCGTGTGTGGGTCTCACACCGGGTCTCACGCACGTGCACAGAGGGGCTCGGCCGCGCTCTGACCAATCAGAGCAGTTCATCAGAGCGGGAGTTAGAGCCAGAGCCAGAAGAGCAGAGTTTGTGGCACTAAAGTGTGGATTTAAACAAAACCGAAAGATTTAAGAAGAAAAAAAGTTCAGGATGACAAGGGACACTAAAATCCGAGCTGTTTTAATATGCATTGAGTTCTATGGGGAAAATTTCTGGGTAGCCCACGTGAATTTAGTCTGGTTCAGTCTGGTTCAGTCTGCAGTACCACGAGAATCCCCTGAGCACATGAGTTATTCAGCTACAAGCTGTAATACCCTATCCAGTTATTATTATAGATCCATGGTTTCGGGTCGCAGATTGTGACCAATCACAGCGGACCACTAGCCCCCACTTTCGTGAGAAATCTACAGGTTCGTTAGCACAGACGGCTGAGTTAGCACAACAAGCGGCGGAGCTAACCTGAAGCTTCCTCGTCTTCGTCACCGGTTACTGCTTACACAGCGAGACAGCATCCAAAAGAAAGTCTCGTTCCTCCGCGCTTCCCGGTTCTATCGTTCTATGGTCACGCCATCCACGTGCAAATCCATATCCATGTATTATCCATATTGGGAGACGCTAGCTCCGTCAACAACAGTGGGTGTGTGGGGGGCGATAGCTTCGTGGGTGCGGGGAGCAGAAAGAGAGAGGCCAGCTTGCCTAAGAGAAGCTTCGATTCATTGGAATAAGGATGTCATCAAGGAAGTTCGCCGCGCCTGAAGATCTGTCACCCTCCGGTGTCAGGCTGCGGGTCTGCGACTCGTGCCCAGCGGCACTCTCCCAGGCTGACCGCCACGAGTCCTGCGTCTTCTGCCTGGGCTGGCGTCATGCCGCGGAGGAAAGCCCCAGCTGTGTGGCTTGCCTCGCGCTCCCCAGGGAGGAGCGCGACAGGCGCAGCGGGCTACTCAACGCCGCCTGTAGTGATGCCCAGGGTGGCCTCGCTCATGGTGTGCCACCCTCCGCCCACACTGCTGCTTCGCCTGGATCAGCGGAGATGTCAGGCTCTGGATCTGGACCAGGGTCCGACTACGATGAGGGGGAGTTGGTGGAGCCCTGCGAGGAGGATGCCCAGTCCTCCTACTCCCAGGAGGTGGGGCAACGCGAGCGCTATCCCCTGGATCGTTTCTCGCATTTGACCGCATCGGCTGTGGTCAGGATGCGTATGGCGATGCCGGTCCAGCCCGCCTCGCCTCCGGTGGACTATTTACAGTCCCTCGCTCCCTCCCCCCGGCGACGCAGACGTGAGGTGGTCGCTCCCAGGATGGAACCGCTGCTGCATTATGCCAGCCGTGAGTGGGATAGGCCCATGGCAGCCAAATCCCCGGCCTTGGCGTACGGAGTGTATGCAGGAGTGGACGCATGGCCTAGGCCGTCAGGCGTTCCTCCCATAGAGGACGGAGTGCGCCTGTCTCTGCTTCCAGCTTCATCTCCGTGGTCTGGACTGGCAGCTCCCTCCGAGCGGGACAAGCTGACCATCTCCATGCTCGACAGATGTTATGCCAATGCAACACAGGTCGTTGCTTTGGCAAATAACATGACTCTCCTCGCTGCTTCCCTCGACACTCTCATCCGGGGTCGGGAGGAGCTCTCCCGGACGGAGATCGAGGAGGCTGAGGATACTATGGCCACCTTCCTCCGCATGGCACAGGGCTTAGCGGTGGACGGTGGTAGGTCCATGTGTGCGGCCCAGGTCGCCTGCCGCCATCTCTGGTTGGGCCTGTCACCTCTCAGGGATGCTGATAAGCGGCGCCTTCTGGATCTGCCGCTCTCCTCCTCTTCCTTGTTTGGACCGGACATCCAGACCCTCGTGGAGCGGATGGAAACAGCGTCCAAGACCTCCGCTCAGTTGGCACAGCATCTCCGTCCTCCGCGGGCTCCTCGTCCCACGGCACGGCGTCCGGGTTATGCGGAGCGAAGAACCCGTGACCGCCCGGCCCCCCCGCATCGTTCAGAGCCTGGAGGCTCTCTGGGTCCTGTGCGCGGGAGACAGCGAGCTCGTGACCAACGGAGGAGCGGCAGCCACCCCGGCTCTCCAGCTACAGGGAGGGGAGGGAAATACTTTAATAAAGGCCGCAAGCAGGCCCGTTACTCCCATAAAGAGTCAACTTCTTTCCCTTTTCCCTCTCACTCAGCATTTGGCCAACGCTGCTCCTCTACAGGGCGTCTGGAGCCTCTCTCAACGCGCTGCGAGGTGGCACGTTGGAGGCAGGCTCCAGGTTCGCAGTGCACTCCCCGTGGTTTCGCCTCCCGTGGGCAGGGAGTGCGTGACCGTGCGCTCCCCTCCTACGCTCCTTGTGCGCCAGCAGCACCAGCTCACAGCGCTCCGTGTGAGAGGCACAGGGCCGCAGCTATCCAGAAGAACAAGGGGGACTGCTCGGCCCCCCCTCAGTCTCCAGTGTTGGGGGGCGGGGGCCCGGCTCCGCGGAAGCAAAGCACGCCTGCCCTCTTGCTGCCACCCGGAAAAAGGTCCAGGGCCGCAGCTAGTGCTCAACCCTCCTCCCAGGGGCCCCCCACTATCCAGAGCATTAAGGGGGACTGCTCGGCCCCCCCTCAGTCCACAGTGCTGGGGAAAGGGGGCTCGGCTCCACGTAAGCGCAGCTCGCTTGCCCTTACGCTGCCACCCGGTAAAGGACCCAGGGCCGCAGCCAGGGCTCGGCCCTCTTCTCAGGGGCCCCCCACGGTCCAGAGCGATAAGTGGGTCTGCCCGGCCCCCCCTCAGTCCGCAGTGTTGGGGTGCGGGGGCTCTGCTCCACGAAAGCGCAGCGCGTCTGCCCTCACTCTGCCGCCCGGGAAAAGGCCCAGGGCCGCAGCTAGGGCTCAGCCCTTTTCCCAGGGGCCCCCCACTATCCGATGCCTCCCCAGGAGGGACGTCTGTGGGCGGGCCGGGCCTTACTCCCTCCTCCCATCCCGCCGTGCTTCCCTTGACTCATTTTGTCACCGTATGGGAACAGGCAGGGCTCCTGGGAACACCGTAGATACGCAGAGTGCTGCATCGGGGCTATGCTCTCCAGTTCTCCCGGCGGCCCCCCCCTTTCTGCGGCATTCTCCAGACAAGGCTATGCAGCCCGGAGGACGCCGTGGCGCTTCACAGGGAGGTCGACGCGCTTCTGCAGCGCGGCGCGGTAGCGGAGGTAGACCCGCTCAAGGCAGGGACAGGGTTTTACTCTCCATACTTCATTGTTCCCAAAAAGAGCGGGGGGGTGCGGGCCATTCTGGACCTGCGCGTCCTCAACGGCTGCATAGCCAAGCGACCTTTTCGCATGCTCACAGTCAAACAGCTGCTGCTGAGCATCAGGCCCGGGGACTGGATGTCTCCGGGGACTGGATGTCCTTCGTGGACCTCAGAGACGCGTATTTCCACATACCCATTGCTCTGGGGCACAGGAAGTTCCTCCGGTTTTCTGGGGGGGGGGGGTGCTTCGAGTATTGCCGACTCCCGTTCGGCTACTCCCTAGCCCCCCGCAGCTTCTCCAAGTGTGTGGAGGCGGCGCTAGAACCCCTTCGGCGTCAGGGCCTCAGGATACTGACGTATATCGACGACTGGCTGATCCTGGCCTCCTCTCGGGAGGAGGCGCAGGATCACACGTCCAGAGTGATGAACCACGTTGCCCGCCTAGGGTTTGTGATCAATATGGACAAAAGCTCCCTGTGCCCGGCCCAGGAGATTTCGTATCTGGGGCTGGTCTTGAATTCCAGGAGCATGACGGCTTCACTCTCGCCGGAGAGACAAGCGGCGGTTCAAAACCTGGGCCGGGTCGTTCTGGGCGAACCTCGGGTCCAACCGCGGCAGATCCGGTCACTCTTGGGCATGATGGCAGCAGCCAATCCAGTGGTGAGACTGGGGTTGATGCACATGCGATATCTCCAGAGGTGGTTCTCACACCTCAGGGGTTTATCACGGAGGGAGCGACTGTCGGAGAGGGCTCGGAACGACGTCGCCTTCTGGCTGTCCCCAGGTCGACTCCAGGAGGGAGTTCGAATGGGTCTGGTGGACCACCACATCGAGGTCTTCACGGACGCCTCACTGAGCGGTTGGGGAGGCGTGCTCGGCCACCACTCGGCAGGAGGCGTTTGGTCCTCCCCCTTGGGGCACATCAACCTCCTGGAGTTGGAGGCGGTGCGGTTAGTGCTGGCCCATTTTGTGACCAGACTGGAGGGCCAACATGTGATTGTTCGGACGGACAACACCACTGTGGCAGCTTACCTGAACAGGCAGGGGGGGACCAGGTCCCCCGCCCTTCACAGGCTGGCAGTGGAGGTTCTTCTGTGGGCGGACGTTCACCTAGCCTCTCTGAGGGCCCGTCACATCCCAGGCGAGCGCAACGTGGCCGCCGACAGGATGTCCAGGGGCGGGGCCTTGCGGGACGAGTGGGGTCTCGCCCCAGCGGTCGTGGCGGAGGTCTGGCTCCGGTTCGGAACACCGGTGGCCGACCTTTTCGCAAATGCAGAGAACGCACAGTGCCCACTCTGGTTCTCGCTCAGGTCCAGCGACGAGCCCCCTCTGGGGTGGACGCCATGGCGCACAGGTCGTGGCCCAACGGTCTCCTCTACGCCTTCCCGCCTCTCCGGCTCTTGGTAGCCCTGCTTTACAGGGTAAAGAGGGAGGGGGTCTCCATCGTGGTGGTGGCGCCGGACAGCCCGGGAGCCAGGTGGTATCCGGACCTGGTGAGCATGGCGCTCGGTCCGCCTTGGCCCATTCCGGACCGTCCCGATGCTCTGAGACAGGCAGGGGGAGCCCTTTACTCACGCCCTGTCCTGGGACACAGGCTCATGGTTTGGAGGCTGAAAGGGGGAAACTGTTGAGCCTTGGTCTCCCTCCCTCAGTGGTCGCTACTATTCAGGGTGGGAGGGCTACATCCACCACCAAAGCGTATGAGGTTCGCTGGAAACTCTTCGCCTCTTGGTGCGTGGACAGAGGCCTGGACCCCACCTCGTGTTCCATCCAGGAGGTCTTGGCTTTTCTCCAGTTTTTGCTGGAGAAGGGAAGGGCGGCCGCCACTCTGGGTGTGTTCGCGGCGGCCATTACCACAGGGCACGTGGGGTTTGGTAGCCACTCTGCGCGTAGCCACCCCTTGGTGAAGCGCTTTCTCCGAGGGGCCCGCAGGATCAGACCTCCCCTCCGGCGGTCGGCTCCGTCTTGGGACCTTCAGGTGGTCTTAGCTGGTCTGTTGGGGCCTCCATTTGAACCCCTGGACAATGCGACCAATGCCTGTTTGTCCTACAAAACGGCATTGTTGTTGGCGTTGGCTTCGGCCAAGAGGTCTGGGGATCTGTGCGCCCTTTCCATGCAGCCGTCTTGTTTGTCCCTCCCCGATCGGGAGGGCATGATGGAGTTGTGGCCTAACCCGGCATTCCAGCCCAAGGTCGTCACGTCATCTTTCAGATCTAGGGTGATCAGGGTGAGACCGTTTTTCCCTCCTCCGCATGCTTCGGAGGAGGAAGAGCGGCGTCATAGTCTCTGCCTGATCAGGGCTGTGAGATGCTATTTGGACCGCACGTCTGACCTCAGACGGTCGAATCAGTTGTTTGTCGGGTTTGGCACCAGGAGTCAGGGTGCTGCTTTGTCTCCACAGCGCTTGGCCCACTGGCTTTGCCTTGCTATTCGTTTGGCGTATGAAGCTCAGGGCTTGCCGCCTCCGGCCCAGTTGAGGGCTCACTCCACTCGCGGGGTTGCCGCTTCGGTGGCTTTGTTCCGTGGCACTTCGGTGGAGGAGATCTGCAGAGCGGCGTCTTGGTCCTCCCCCTCGACCTTTGTGCAGTTTTACCTACTAGATGTGGCCTCTGACTCTGTGGCTCATTCGGTTTTGAGTGCAGGGCGGCCCTAGTTCCTCCTTCGTCTAGGGTTATGTGGAGAGGTGTTGGCGCTCTTGGGAGAGGCGGCCTGGACACCTCTGCAGTAGGGGTAGGCGCTCTTGGGAGAGGCGGCCTAGACCCTTCTGCAGTCTGCTCTACATTCCTGGGGTTCAGGTGCTCTTGGGAGAGGCTGCCTGCCCAGGTTTGTTCTGAATTCTTTCCTGCTTTGCAGGTTGGGGAATGCGCGGGCACTCTTGGGAGAGGTAGCCCTGCATCCCTTTCTCTATGGCTCGTAGGACCTCCGTTTCTACCGCTTGGTTGCGGTATGAGCAGGAGGGTCACGAGTTTGCTCCAATCACCAGAGTTCATGCCTGCTGGGAGTACATTGGTCTGGGCTTCGCTATGTTATGCATTAGCGAAGCCTAAAGGGCGAAGCAACATATGAAATAGAAACCCCAGTTACCTAATGTAACTAAGGTTCTATGAATATGTTGCGAAGCCCTTTAGCTTCGAGCCCAGCAGGCCTGCCCTCTCTTATTCGGCTGAGTTCGAAAGGAGAAGAGCTGTGGTGCATGACCCTTTTTATAGGGGACAGACCTACGCCAGGACGTGAAGGTGATTGGAGGGTGGATCGTTTGATCTTCTCAGGGCGGGAAGCGATGCTTCCGAAGAGATATGCATTAGCGAAGCCTAAAGGGCTTCGCAACATATTCATAGAACCTTAGTTACATTAGGTAACTGGGGTTTACACACTATGCAGCAGGGTTGCCAGGTTTGGTGGTTCCCGCATATTTTTTTCCAAGAGACTTGTAGGTATTAAATAAACAGAAAGACAATAAACAGAATCATGATAGCCCAAGTTGATTACATTACGTTTTTAGCCAAAAAAATCATTCTGAGTGTTTTTTTTTAGGGTATTCTCGCGGATTTTGGGTTGGAAAATCTTGCTGGGATTTGGCAACCTATGGGAGCCGTGTGCTTCGATGTGAGTGGTTGAAAGCAGACTTCATTCAAGATAACGGACAAGTGGTCTATCCAATCACATACAAGGATTTTTTTACAAGGCCCTGCCTTCTGAAATCCAACCACTATGGCTCAGGACCAGACTCATGTGTGAAGTGCAGCGACCTACATGGGTCTGGCCAGAGTCAGGCTAACACAGATCTGCATGAATGAATAAAAAAAAATAGAAAGGAACATTACTAAGAGATATATACTTTATTGATCTCACAATGAGCTGAAGTGCTGTAAAGTGCAGTAGGGCTTTGAAGTCTCTGCGAGCAGCGTTCTGACCAATCAGAGCTGCTGATCAGAGCGGGGGCCGGACGAGCAGAGTTTGTGGCACAAAAGTGTAGATTTATAGAAAACCAAAGAATTTAACAAGAGAAAAAGTTCAGGACGACAAGAGACACTAACATCCACACAAAATCCTCCTTTATGAAAGCTGGAGGTTCTCTGTCAGGTTCTCTGTTTACATTGAGTTCTATGGGACATTTTCCTGTGCAGAACATGTGAGTGTAGTCTGCAGTACTGTGGGTGCCCCTATCCAGATGTTATTATAGATGTTATTACAGATCCATGGGTGTACTCTTTTGCCTCACACCTAATTAAGCATATTTGTTTAAACTATAAATCCTCATCATTTGTTGTTGTCATGGAGCTGACCAGAGTTTCTCTCTTTCTTCTGTAACAGGAATTGTGACAAGATGTCCCCTTGAACTGAAGATGAAGCGTAAAAAAGAAGGAGAAGAGTGGTTTGGAAAAATTAAATATCAGAATAATGAGGAAGAAATAGAAGATCCAAAGAATGTGGAGCAGAAGATTCGAGAGGGTATGATCTGCCTGAAGATCCTCCTGACGTGCTAGTTTCCTCATGAGTTTATTTGTTTTTTTGATCCGACAGCTCAAAACCACGTGGCCGGAGATGGAGTGGACATCAGTGAGGAGCTCATCACTTTGGAGATTGCCTCTCCTGATGTTCCCGACCTCACACTGATCGATCTCCCTGGAATCACCCGAGTGGCAGTTCAAGGCCAAAGAGAGGACATCGGAGAAACTGTTAGTTCAGCAACACTTTTAATCAAAATTCAACTGCAATATTTTAGCTTAATGTGAAGCCAGACTGAACGGACCAGACCACGACCTGCTTCACCTCATTAGAAAACATATCTTTGATGGCATGTCCAAACTCAGGCCCGTGAGCCAACTGCGGCCCTCTGCTGCAAACACACAGTAACCTTAAACACAAATTCACAGTGTCATCCAGCCAACTTCTGCTCTGCCAGCTGCTCTGTGTGGGTGTGTCTGTGTCTGTGTGTGCGCTCTGAGAGAGAGAGTGTGTGGCATGTGGGCGAGGCAGAACTGTTGGTATGTTTTTGTGTTTCGACAACAAAAGAAAGTCTGACTCGTGAGGAACCGTCCAAGATTTGAGTAATTTAAGGACAGTAAACAGAGTGTGTCGCATTGATCGCAAGTGCAATATTAAACCAACTAAAATACAAATATTTGTATTTTTTGATTAACTACAGATTTACCCAAAGCATAGAGCTGTCATAGAAACTTAACAACAAAATCTGGTTTAACACAATTCAGAAAGACACAAAACTGATCTGATCTGGTGGGACCTGAGAGATGCAATGATCAAGTGGGACTTCATTTGAAAAGAATCCGATTTTTAAAATGTTTCTGTGTCGCTACATTTCTCTCACAGTCCATTAAAACGTGTTCCCATTAAGTTGAAAACTACAGGGTTTGTAAGGTTCATTTTCATAATTTTAGTTTGTTTTTGCGTACACAGTCAACAGTCTGTAACCAATATACTGCCAAAAAGTCTTGATGATACAAATTGTGATTCATTTTTCTGTATTTAACTTTACTCTCTGTATTTTAGATAAAGAGGCTTATCCAGAAGTTCATTAAAAAGCAAGAAACCATCAGCTTGGTTGTTGTACCCTGTAATGTGGACATATCCACGACGGAGGCTCTACAGATGGCGCGGGAAGTGGATCCTGAAGGAGAGAGGACTTTGGGTGAAACACATTCAAACATATACGTAGTTCTTGCTGGACTAGTTTTATTTCTTTCTTTTTTATTGAAAGATCCATCCATCCATCCATTTTCTCCGCTTATCCGTTGCGGTGCGGGGCAGCAGCAGAGACGCCCGACTTCCCCACACACTTCCCAGCTCATCGGGGGACCCAAGGCGTTCCAGGCAGCTGAGACTAGTCCTCACGGTCCTAGTCTTCCGCGGGCTCTCCGGTGGACGTGCCGAACACTCCCAGGGAGCGTCCAGAGGCATCCGACATGAGTGATCATGATATGAAGATCAGAGTAAAATCTGGACAAAGTGTATGCAGCTCTAGATTTATAGATCCGATATATAGATCTATGGTTACAACATATACAACAGCACTGTGTGTCTGGACCAAACTGGCTTTCTTTTCAAGTGTGTCTGGTTTGGTTTATCTGCACAAGAGCCTGAGAGTCCATGAAGTCCTGTACAAAGATCAGCACTCACTGGACTCACACGGTTCTCTCTCGGTTTCAGGTATTTTGACCAAACCTGATCTGGTGGACAAAGGCACCGAGGAGACCGTGGTGGACATAGTGCACAACGACGTCATCCGTCTGACCAAAGGCTTCATGATCGTCCGCTGCCGGGGTCAGCAGGAGATCACAGACAAAATGTCTCTCTCTGAAGCCATGGAACGGGAGAAGGCCTTCTTTAGGGACCACCCATTCTTTCAGTGAGTTTATTTATTCATGGATCAGATGAGATATTTCATTATTATGGGCGGCACGGGGGGAAATTTAAATGTCATGATGATGATGATGGTGGTGGTGATAATGAAGATGGTGATGATTATGATGAAGGTGATGA